GTCACTGGGCCCCAGCTTCTGGGTGGATCAGTGGGAACGGGGAGTGCGTGCGCACACCGACAGAATTCGAACTGTGTTCCAGAAAAGCTGGGCCCACATAATGTTTCCGAATTTCTGCAGGGTGACTTAACTGTTGGTCTATTTGATTATTTTGAACGAGCTCAAAGACCCAATTCAGATTGTTGTGGGAACCCGTTTCTTGTGCTTTTGCACGTTCTTCTGTCTCCCCTTTCAGAAAGTAAGATCCCTGAGATCGAAAAGTTCCCTCTATTTCTCTTTTTAAGAAATAGTGTCTTTTCAGTCCTGTGTGGACTGGAGGCTCGACTATTTGGCTTGCTATATTACTTAACGGTATTTACATTTCTCGTTTCCTCTTAGTGTTTAGAAATCAGCTACCCAGGAAAAATGACTTTTACTCATATGAGCCACCTTCTGAGGATCCTCCTCCAGAGACGGGAGAGTCTGTGTGCCTCCAGCTCAAGTCTGGTGCTCATCTCTGCAGGGTTTGTGGCTGTTTAGGCCCCAAAACATGCTCCAGATGTCACAAGGCGCATTACTGCAGCAAGGAGCATCAGACTCTAGACTGGAGATTTGGGCATAAGCAGGCTTGTACACAATCAGGTGAGTCAACTCTTTTTAAGTCTTAGCTCAGTTTCATAGCATCTGTCAACCCAAGTTTTTTGTTTTGAGGATTAGAGAAGGTATTATTCTTTTCAAAATTTTAGTACCTGGTAACATGAACACCTCTAAGAAAGAGGAGCTGTGAGGTCTTGCCTGCTCACTTATGTCCAAGACTTGCTTTAATATTGGTGTTTAATTTATGACCTAAATTGCTGGAACTACATGTATTAATTTACTAGGGTTACTGCACAGAATATAGTTTAGAAATGGGAAATTATTTGATCCTCTTTAAAACTAAACGATTAGTAATGATGCTAGTTACCTTTTCATGTTTCAGATTATTTGGACAGAACAATTCCAGACCACGGCTTCCTTTTTCCAGAATTTGAAATTGTAATAGAAACAGAAGATGAGATTACACCTGAAGTCGTTGAAAAAGAAAATGATTCGGAAATTATAGGGAGCATGGGTAAGGAGTCACTTTTAGAACTTTATTCATATAGTGCTGGAAAGAAAAGGCTCTGTATGTCAAAAAGAGAGGTAGGTACTGACAGGAAGTCAATTCACTTTGGAGTCTGTGCCCTATGATTTTCAAACACTATCATTTGACAGTATCTTTCCTGTACCTCTCTTCCTTGGCATGTATATCAGATAGATTCTGGTTCTGATGAAGACATGTCAGGGTAAGTATCCAAGTGGTCATTTGGGTAGGGCTCCTCCACATGATGCTGGAAACTTGTTAAGTTCATCTGGATCCAAGATCTGTTTCTCAGATCAATATAGAATATGTGAGACCCTTAGCATAGTGTTTGGTGGGTGACAGGGGCCCTTTAAATGTTTCATCAGCTAGTTTCAGATACCCAATTTTACAGGTTATCTAGATGATAGTACGCTAATGTAGTGCCTAGGCCTACCAGATACTAAGCGAAGGATTAGTAGCCAACATTTATCCAGCACTTACTCTGCACCAAGGGCTATTTGTGCATGAGCTCATTGAAATCCTGAAGGCAGTACAGTGAGAAACTGTACCTCATTTTGCAGTGAGGAATTTGAGGTTTTCTGGGTAACTTGTTTGGTCACGTAACCAAAGTTGTTAAAGTTTTAGAACTGCAGTTTGAGCTCCCATGTTGTTGACTCCAGAATTTGAGCTCTTAACTACCACAAAATTGGGTTTTAGAGTCTAAATCAGACTTTACAGTATCAGCTTACTGGTTTATAGTTCATATTCAGGTGATGTCAAGAATATACTTTGGTACATGTAACACAGACTAAATCCTGTTGAGGACAGCAGGGCTTCAGACAGCTGGGATTCCAGGAGAGGAGGAATGTGCAGAGAACAAGCTGGTAGGTCATGGTGAGTGATGGCTGAGTGAGTGTACCAGCTGGGAAAAGACATGTGTGAGACGTGAAGAATCAGGGCAGTCCAGGCAGCTTAAGGGCAGTAGTGAAAATAAAAGGCTCAGCATTTGTTGGGTGTCCTGTCATCTACAGGGCACAAGTCTTAAACCCAGGACTTGGGTCTGTTCTTTCATTTGAAGATTTAAAGCACTCACTAGGAACCTGCCCAGTAAAGTGGGGTACCTGGAAAATCAGATGGTCTTGAAATACTATAATGAATTAAAATAGGGAAAGCCTGTGGGAACATCTGGCTTTCACTATCTGATTTATTTATTTGTTTTTAAAGATTTTATTTATTTGAGAGAGAGAGAGAGAGAGAGAGAGAGAGCACATGAGAGGGGGGAGGGTCAGAGGGAGAAGCAGACTCCCCACTGAGCAGGGAGCCCGATGCGGGACTCGATCCCGGGACTCCAGGATCATGACCTGAGCCGAAGGCAGTTGCTTAACCAACTGAGCCACCCAAGCGCCCTCACTATCTGATTTAACATTAAGTTGGTTGTTTGAAATTTCCTGCCCTCAGCATGTAGGAAATGTCAAGTCACGGGGACTAGTCCTGTTGCTGTAATGGTTGTGTTGATATTTTTCAGGTGAAGCACCTGAGGAAGAATTGGATTCCATGGCAAAACATGAATCCAAGGAAGATAAAATTTTCCAGAAGTTTAAAACTAAAATAGCCCTTGAGCCAAAACAGGTAAACTGGAACTCCTACAACTCCTTCTTGTGTTCTTTTCAGGGTATAGTCCCTGAGAAGTAACTACTATAAAGCTAGTCTCTTGTTATAGGAGTCCTTCACACAGATAGTCTGCTGATATTGTCAGTAGTTACTGAAAAACTACAGGTTATACTGTTTATCATGTAGGGTCCGTATTTTAAAGAAGGCATCCGAGACAGATGAGTAAGATGTTGCCTGTAATACAGGAAGTTTGCACCAGTGGCAGAAAGAAAGGAACATATTTTTGCCCATTTATCCAATAGGAACCTTTTGCTTGTAAAACCAACATGACATGTTAACACAGACACTGGTTTTGTGAAAAGAAAAATGGGCTTTGGAGTTGGGAAGAAGCCTGGATCCTAGAGTTAGACGAAGAGCTCTGACGTAATTGCATCTACAGTGTGAAAAAATTAGAGGTCAGTTGTGAGGATGAAGGAAGAATGTAGGCACATATTAAGTGCTCAGCAAATGTTTCCCTTCTTCATCCCTGTTCTTCTGTTAATATCATTCCCCTTAAAGACATTCAACATAAACCTAAATCACTGAAGAAAGTTCGGCTAAACTCCTGTAAAGCAGTCACTGAGTCAAATATCCAGGAGAAGAATATCATAAGAATAGACCTAGGTCCTAAACACGGTGAAGGTAGTTTTTAGCAATGCACATGCTTTTAACAAAACATAGGAAAGCCACTCTGTTGATGTTTAAGATCTTACTGTGAAATTTATCTCTGTAGTATTTATCTAAACAACTGTATTACTTGGTATTTGTCCCTTTAAAATGAAAATAATATATGAGGGCACCCACAAGTGGGGGTGGGGGGGCAAAGGAAGACTTTTTAAGATTTTCTTATTTGAGAGAGCATGCAAGAGAGAGCATGCATGCACGCCTGAGCAGGGGGAGGGGGAGAGGGAGAGGGACAAGCAGCCTCTGTGCTGAGTGTGGAGGCTCCATCTCATGGCCCCGAGACCATGACCTGAGCTGAAACCAAGATTTAGGCACATAACCGACTGAGCCACCCAGACACCCTTGGTCCCTTTTAAAATTTTTAACTGAGGAAAAGAAGAAGAAGATAGCAGGAGGGAAGAATGAAGGGGAGTAAGTCGGAGGGGAAGACGAACCATGAGAGACGATGGACTCTGAAAAACAAACTGAGGGTTCTAGAGGGGAGGAGGTGGGGGGATGGGTTAGCCTGGTGATGGGTATTGAGGAGGGCACGTTCTGCGTGGAGCACTGGGTGTTATGCACAAACAATGAATCATGGAACACTACATCAAAAACTAATGATATAAGTATGGTGATTAACATAACAATAAAAAAATTTAAAAAAAATTTTTAACTGAGGTTCCTTTTATCTGTGAAAGAAAGCACAGACTCTGGGCTGCATTTTGGATTTAGAAACTGGTAATGGAGAAACAGGATTAGAGTGGGACCCTCACAAAATACTCCTAGGATTTATATTCTAACCATATTACCATGTATGAAATAGGATTTTGATATCCCGAGTCATTTAAGCTAAAATAACTGATTTGATGACACTGATAAAGCATTAACGGTGCCAGGTCTGAGTTGGGGGAAACAGTAAACTGCGTTTCGGATGAGTGTTCCATCAAGGCTCTCCAGATTATTACCCAGTCACGTGCTACCACTGGAAATTTAGGTGAGATGGTGATTTGCACATGATCCCGGCTGATTTTAGGTTCTCAGATACGGCAGAGGGATTGCTCCCATCTGGATCTCTGGTGAAAATATCCCTCAAGAAAAGGATATTCCATATTGCCCCTGTGGTGCCAAGAGAACATTTGAATTCCAGGTATGACCTTAAATGAGTATTTTAATATGTGTAGTCACCCCAAGTTATGTTATTAAAGGCTCCAAAACTTTACTGAAATAATACATGCCCATGGGTCCTGTTACTACAGAAAGTGCCTTGTCCCACCTAAGAGCTTATTCCCTGGAGGGAATTGTCTTTTACAGTTTTATCTGGTAGTTCTCTAAGTAACATGCTTTTTCTGGTAACTTGTCAGTTTACTAGTTTTTAGACATTATCCGTTGACTGGCACATGCAGTAAATGAGGATTTAAATGTAGTTTCTTACACCATCTGGACCACCCTCCCACCTCCCAGTGTGGTTACATCATTATTTTTAGTGTCTGCATTTTGTTACCTTAAAATTTTAAATAGTCCTTCTTTTCTTGTTATGGCAATTAAGGTATTTTGTACTTTGTGATAGGAACGTTTTGGAGGCCTTAGTAAGGTTTGGTTTTAGTTTGTGGATTTGTTAGGAAAACAGATGGATATAATCATTAAGACAAACGGTTTTTCAAAAGGAATTGCTAGGATCACAGTCCATTTGGGTTGGGTAGAAATGCTCTTGTTGATTTGCTAACCTTACAGAGTGGCAGGTAATACTTTCTGCCTAGGGTAAAAAAAGGAATTGTGAAGACTGTATCCAACAGTAACGGGTTCTTAGTGTCAAAGCTGGAGATTAAAAGACCAGGGTGCCTGCAATCGCCCTGGCAAGGAAGGTCTGTTGAAAGCAGACAGTGCTCTCTGCCTCAGCGCAGGGCTCTAATTCTGTCGTCCTCTTAGGTCATGCCTCAGCTGCTCAACCACCTAAAGGCCGACAGACTGGGCAGGAGTGTCGACTGGGGTGTCCTGGCTGTCTTCACCTGTGCTGAAAGCTGTAGACTGGGGATTGGCTACACAGAGGAATTTGTTTGGAAGCAAGATATAACAAATACACCCTAAAGACAATGTCGTAAAGCCTTAAAAATGCTCATAATCTCTTAGACCTTGCAAGTCCATTTCTAGGACTTTATCCTAAGGAAATAATTATAGCAGAGACAAAGGCACAAAGATGTTGTTTTAGGTGAGTTTACAGTGTGTAAATATTAGTGCAACAAAAATGTCTGGTGACAGGTATTTAAAGAAATTTTGGTGAATCCCTACAGCAGAAGGTAATGCAGTCTTAATGATATACATCTATATGTACAAGATACAGGTTTAAACTGACACCAAGATATTCATAGTATGTTCATATTTTTGTAAAAGTATTTATACATGTGTATGTCCACAGAAATCTGGAAAGATACGTACTCGGTGGGAACTAGTTAACTATGGATGGTGGGACTATGAAATGATCGTTTTACCTATGTGTTTGTTTCTTTCTACAATAAAAATGGGTTAATTGCCTAATTAAGACAATCCATTACTCAGCATTTTTCCTCCTAAAATTTGCAATGTTAAAACCAAGAGAAAACTAGTTGGGTAAAACCCAAAGAGACGTAACTGGTTATCAGGTCATTGTCATGGGCTCTAAGACACATGAAGTCCAGAACACTGGAAAAATACAAAACTCCAGTAGGCTGGTGAATGTGATGAATAACTGACTTCAGAGAGAGGCTCTACTTCAAAACTGACCTTGATCTGCCAACAGCACTGCTCACAGATGAGAGATGGAAGGCAAGAATAATGGTCTTTCTCCACCCCCCCCCGCCCCCCACTCATGCCAGTGTACACACGGGGAGTAAACCCAAGTAAGGAGGCAGGAATTGGCCATTAGAATTTCCCTAGGGAAATCTGGCCCTGAGGTCAGCTAAGTCTGTTAACCGTGCTAAGGCTCCTTCCAGCCCCTAGTGTTTCACAATTATGCTGGGACAATTCCCAGTTCTTTCAACACCAGTGATGCCTGCCCAGCACTAAAGCAAACCTCAAGGGACACTGCTGTTGATCAGTGCTTGAAAACCTACAGCTAATCTAAGTTGGCTCATATTCTCCCATAAGTGCATCTTTTTTGGATATAACACCATTAGTTAATGTCACTGACCACCTGGTTATTTTACTACACTTTTATATGAGAAAGTCCTGGTCTATTAGCCCACATTATAGGTGTATATGTGTTATTCATAAAGAGATGTGTATGAAATACAGTGAAACATAGCTCCATATGGGAAACCAGTATGGAATTCTGATGGGGAGATTTGTTACTAGGCTACTTTTAAATACAACCTGTAAAGAGGGAGGATGGTGTCACAGTTTTCAAGCTGGGAGAGTGAAGTCTGAGAATGACCTACAGCTATGGTGATACAGCCCGTTGCTACTGGAGGACACATTATAAGTTGTCCATCATCTGGTGGCAAGAATCAACACTTGGTAGGAAGCTCAGTGGCTTCTGGAAAACTGGACTAGTGGGGGGGTCTTCACATTGCCAATTGTAAATGATTCTTAAAAGTCAGGAGATGTTATAGTAAGTTTTCCAAAGCAGAATAGTGCCCTGACTGCTAAGGACTTTAAGCAAACCCATTAGGGTCTGTTTGGAGAGACATCACCAGATGATTGTGGACATTCTTGCAGGTATGTTGGGAATAACCAGCCAAGCTGTCCTTTAGGTATGTATCCCTACCAAGTTCTGGCAATTAGGGTGAGGGTTCACAGGGTCCTTCCACTTATAGACTAGTCCAAATCAACAGAAAGAAAATGTCACAATGTCAACTAACATCCATGTTGAAACATAATCCATCATATGAAAAATACAAAATAAAAATAACCTAAAACCAAAAATTTACATAAAAACATTGAGCAACTCAGTTACTTCTAGAACTGTCAAGATGCATTTAAAAACACCCTAAAATTATCATGTCTCACCCAGTAACTTTCTGTAGAGGATGTCATTCACTATTGCCCATCCACGTACTCCACTGTCCACCAAAACTTCTGTTTGGCTCAGACACTGCCTGAGTCGGGTGACCCGACTGCTCACCCCTCCTTTTATTAGATACTGAACGCTGGTCTCATCATTCCTTGACAATTCAGAGATAACAAGATAAGTATGTTTAAGTGCTTTTGATAATCACCTTGGTAGTAATGCAATCTAAGACTGTTGCATGTATAATGTAACATAAAGTAAATGACCATGGGATTTCCTAACATTATTCCGTGTGTCTTTAAAAATTAAGGATTATCGGTGTAAATAATAAAACTGATTAAATGAAACCCCCGTAGTCCTGAATTTGAATTGGATATATCAATATGAATTCATGAGGTATTTAATCTCGAAAACTTTCAAAGGGAAAGCAGCATTTATCCTGCTATATGAAGTGTATCACTTTATAAAAGTATTCCAATGAACGACTGGAAAATAAGTAGAATTTCATCATTTGCAACCCACTAATGAATTCACAGATCAATGAGAAGTCTCTGGATGTAGCTGCTCATTTGCAGGAAATCGAACACAGGAACATGCTGAACTACACCATGAGTTTGAAAACAGCAAAACACATACTGTAAGAAACTACCAGCTGTAAATTTGGCCTAACATTTTAAGGAAAAGACAGGGAGGAGGAATATAAGGAGTAAAACAGAGAAGCATCCTTTTTTTTTTTTTTAAATGGAAGATTAACCCATATTAGTAATTTAGGTCATGACTATAAAATGATTACAAAATTTAAGATAATGGTTATTGGTGGGGGGTGTTGTCGCTGGACTAGAAGGAGAGGCCCCTGGGACACGGGCAAGGTTCTGAGTGGTGGTTGCAGGGATGTCTACTGAGTAATACACTATGCTAAAGATTTGTTTTGTTAGGTTTTCTGTGTGTACTGTTTCACAGGGAAAAGCCTCAGAATTCAGTAAAGTGATTGGGAATAAGATAAATATGTCAACAAGACTTGTAATGAAACATTACATTAATACCAGGAACCAGAGAAATTTAGGAATTAACTTATATGAAATGTATAAGCCCTATATGAAAAAAATAATAAAACTTGACTAAAAGAAGATCTACATGGAAAGATACTTCTTTCTTGGGTGGAAGGGGATAATATTGGACCGATGGATGGCAGTGGCTCCTCTCCTAGGCATGTTCACTACAGAAATGCCTGCACTGAACCACAAACAGGCATATAAGGGTGCTTCCTACAGCTGAAACACTGCTGATAATTAAGGAAACAGGTAAATACATAAAGGTACGTAAGAGATGATGTTCATCTGTGATGCTATCAGACTCCACGACATACTGACTGAAAAAAAAAGCAAAGCTATAAAACAACAAATGCTTTAGTATTTTCTAAATATGGGATCAAAAGCAGCCCAAGGAAAGAAACTGCACAGAAGGGGGCTTGGGAGATACCTGGGTAAGTAAGCAGAAGGGAGAGAAGGAAAGAACTCTTCCTTTCTGATTATGTGCCTCTGAACTGCTTCAAAATGTACTTTGACAAATTAACCCAAACAATAAAATCCAAGAACTTACAAATTTCCAGGTAATATTCATGAGAAAAACAAACACCTCACCAAGCTGTACACATACCCAGCTTTAATACTGAAGGACTCTGGCCGAGAGCCTGGTTTTGCGTTCCCTAGCTATGTACCCTGGGGCAAATACCGCAGCTGAGGCCGGAGTTTGCTCACCTGGGAAAGAGGAACAAAACCGAATTATAGGTTTTGTGAGAATTACAGGCAATGTATCTGGGAAACAGGAGGTGCTCGATATATGGAAGATAATAAATCCATGTTTCATGAGCAACCTTAAATTTTCAGGTAGTTCATCCATTATCACTGCGACATACAATGCAATGTTGATTGAAACAAACAACGAGCAAGCAAGCACACATTGAAATGGTTTCAGGCAATTATATCTAAAATACAGCTTTAACAGTATGATCACACAAATCTTACAAGGTATCATTTATAACATCAATCTAACACTTTTATAAACAGCATTTATTGTACAGAGTACTCTGAAGGAAGAAAAATATGTACAGCCATTCGTTCTCATTAATACGGCTACTTTGTCCTGCAATACTGAAAAGGCGGAATGTGTCTGGCACAAAAATAACCCCTAGGAGTCACGAATTAGAAAAACAACACTTTTAAAAAAGATTTTTACTTTTCTGGTAGAAATATAAAAACTGTGGTTTATGGGGAAGAAATTAAACAAAAGAAAAAGTCCAATCAATTGTAGAGGTGGCTTTAACACTTGAAGTTTTGCACTTCAAACCAACCTGCTGACAGCAGTATGTGTTTAAAATCTAAATATAAATAAACGGGCAGCCCTGCACAAACAGCAGCACAGTATGAGCAACTTACACAGCGCCGCAGAGTTCTCTGTGCAGAAGTAAGACCACTTCCCGGCATCACTGCGGGGAATGCAGGATGGAGAGCTTCACCGGGTGCCACAACCCACAGAACAGCCATCTTCTCACCAAATCGGGGCCATCCACAACACCACCATTTAAATGTACCAAAATTGATTTGTTTTAAAAACAAGTGGGTGCAGAGGCAGGAGTACGTAACAGCCATTATGTCGTCTTCCTGAAACCCTTTAGAATAGGGTAGATATTTTCGAATGCTTCATAAATTTCTGCTCTGACTTTAGCACCTATAAAGACAAGTCGGAGAAGAGAGTCTGAAATAGCTTTCCTTAACATGTTAAAGAGGTAAAATTACTTTGAAATAAAATTACTTTAAAACCATAAGCACAATTCTCATCCATTATTCTCCCACTTGCTGCCTTTAAGCAAGCTCTTCTGAACCTTCCCCTACTGTCTCCAAATGGCATTGCTGATGAATCTCAAAAGAGTTACAGAAGGGTTTCCACCTTAAAATGCCATCTCTTAACCAATGTGATGGCCACCTCCCCTGCTCTCCCCACTACAGGTCCTGCTCTCACTCCCCCTGGTGGGTGTGCTTCTCATCAGTGTTAGGAGAAGAAGGGGGCAAAGGCACTTGCTAGCCACCTGTGCCCAGTCTTCGAAATTACTTCTCAGCACTGAGAAGATGCTGTTCTCGAAACCCTTTCAAACCTTCGGACACTACTTCCTGTCACAACTTACCTGTTAATACAACTTTTCCAGAAACAAAAATAAGAAGAACAATTCTGGGTTTGATCATTCTGTAGATTAAACCAGGAAATAACTCTGGCTCGTAACTAGGAGGAAAATGGCAAAAAGAGTTTAGAAATTAAAAGCTGCCCATGCTTTAGGTAAAATGAGGACCTGCACGGGGAAAATACTGACTAAACCACAAACTCACTGGGAGATGAACCCAGAGGAGGGAGAACTTAGGGACAGTGAGGGCGACCTGTCATCAGTACTTGAGGACTAACAAACTATTTCTAATGAGTCTGGATTTTCTGCTGTACAAACGAGACCTTTGGATTTATGCTCTTCAGTGTCCGACCCTTATCAAGGCTCACGAGTGGCATGTCTGATTCGA